TGTGTGTGTGTGTGTGTGTGTGTGTGTGTGTGTGTGTGTGTGTGTGTTTGCGTGTGTATGTGTGTGTGTTGGGATCAAGTGAGCAGATAGGGAAGGGCCATCGGTGTCTGTTGTTATCGCTCTTGTAGGTCCTACCCCACACACACACACACACACACACACACACACACACACACACACACACACACACACACACACACACACACACGTCAGTTTGACCTGACAGGTTTGACTCCGGCTCGTCTGTAAACCGCCCCGCTGTGACGGGTCCTGCAGAAACCTTTACCAAAGTTTCATCTTTTAACCTTTACTCAGTGGGGGGGCTAATCCTGAGCTCCTTTAAGTACACTAAACACCCTCTATTTAAAAAATCACACCCCTTTTATGGACCTTACATTGCAATACACATGGGATTTTAAAATAATAATTCAAGCCTAATAATTGCAGACCTTTCTTAGTTACAAAAATAAATCTACAACTTTCTTTCTCGACTGCATTTACTGCACACTAGTCACTATTTAAGTATTTTTGATTAGCCTAATATTTGATGCACTTAAATCAAAGCTGCCTTTTTCCCTCTTACATTATCTTACGTGTAAGCAGCGTTTTAACGTTGTAGCTCATGGAGAGAGAGCTGGATTTAGTTGAGTAGAAAGTATAGATTTCCATCTGAAGTGAATGCATAAAATAGCCGTATATATAATTATTCGAAGTATATAAGTACAGTCTATATACTAAGTTACTCTTTACCATTAGATCTATTTAAAACGTGCTCAGTCCCGAAACAACTGTAATAATGCTTTCATGCATCAAGCTCGTTAACAAGTTAATTACTTTTCGCTACCTAAGTCTGAAAAACACTACTTTTTAATATCATAGATTTCACAAATTGTGAAAATGTTTCTGTAAAAGCATCAAATAATAAAGAAAAACCCGCTTATTTTCTGCTAAATTATGGACACACAGGAGTGTTAGAATACTAAATGTGTGTGTGAGATGTATAAACTATTCCCTGGATTAAAGGATGTTTAAGAGGAGCACATGCAGCTCACGCAGTGGTTACTGAAAGAGGTTGATAGGGGAGCTGTGTGTGTGTGTGTGTGTGTGTGTGTGTGTGTGTGTGTGTGTGTGTGTGTGTGTGTGTGTGTGTGTGTGTGTGTGTGTGTGTGTGTGTGTGTGTGTGTTTCTGTGCAGCACCTCCTATCATAGCTTCATAATGGAGCAGTGTCTGGGGAGTTTTATCACCGTGCTCCAAGGGCCCCACGATGCTGAAAAGGTGACTGAATTGAAAAGAGAGTAGGGACATTTATGTGTGTGTGTGTGTGTGTGTGTGTGTGTGTGTGTGTGTGTGTGTGTGTGTGTGTGTGTGTGTGTGTGTGTGTGTGTGTGTGTGTGTGTGTGTGTGTGTGTAAGAGTCAAGAGGGCAGTACACCGTAGAGCATCGCAGAAGAATCGTCTTCCCAGCATGCCTCAGGGCTTCCCTTAGTCCCTCCATAGGTGTGTAGCAACATAATTAGACAGATAAAAAGCAACGGCGAATGTGGACGCTCAGATAAGGTCTAATGAGAGGGAGAGGGAGAAGAGAGAGGGGGGAGGAATGAAAGGAAGGGGTAGACGTGAGGAAGGAGGTATTATTAGTGAGAGATGACACATACAGGCGTTCTCATAATTATCAAAAAGTCTGAAGTCTTGAATCTCACCTTTTTAAAACGCAGAAGGGAAATGCTTTCATGCCAATGTAGTGTTTTCCTGGGATGCAGTGTAAAGGATGATTTGTTGAACTTCCTAACACAACTCCAAGAAGCTGATTATGAATAATTAGAGCTACTAATGTCAAGATATTCTGAGGCAAAACAATTAAAAAAACATTAATCTATGTCCTATTCATTCCAGATAGTGTATTTCTATGATAATAACCACTATACATGACATTAAAAATGATAACATTGTGTTTTTTTTATACGGTTTTCACTGACTTCGGGACTGTTGACCTTTTTTTTCAGGATGGTTATGAATAAGGCAGTCTTTTGTAGCAACAACTAATCACAAAACAACAACAAAAACAATCAGTAATGGCAATATGGCTCATTGGCAATTTATATACAGAAAAAATAAGATGTTTGTGATGGAAGGAATGAAGCAGCAGGGGTTGATGGGAGTTGTAGTCTCAGCTTTAAGAGAATTTAACTGATGAATATTTAATATATATATATAAGGGGAAAAAGTTTTTTTTGCCGTATTTCCTTTGATCAACCTCGAAGGACTTTCTTCTACATTTCAAAACCTCCACTCCTAAACTCCTCTGCAAGTCCTCTATGGTTTCTGACTTTGTATTAGCTCTCTTTCCAAAATAAATCAAACAATACACGTGATTGTAATTCACTCGGAGCGCAGAGTATTGTTTTGACTTTTGGCTGTTTCCCTTCCATCATTTGTTGCAGATCACTTGGCTGTGTCTAAGTTGGCAGAGAAGACACAAACATGGAGTGCGTCATCTCCTCAAAACACTCTCCAACATGATCAGAATAACTCTAAATAAATAAGCATCCTCACTGTACCTTCAAGTGTGATCTGATGGATTCACTTTTGCTGCATGCAGGTACATTTATTTTGAATTAGGGTAGCCTCTTGTTAGGAAAAATAAAAATATCAATACTGATTCAGACAAAAAACACTGAAAAGCAATATCAAAATGCAGATTTAAAAACATTTGTATTCGTTTCATTTGTATTGTGAGGTAGGATTAGGAAACATCAAATCTTAGTGGAGTGGGGTTTTTTAAGTCCCAAGTGGAGCAAAAGCTTAAGTGTATGTTAACGCCACATGCTTTGTGTACTGTACGTCATAATTTACAAACGTAATCTCTTCACATCGCACTGAAAATCATTTAGCTTGCACCTCCGAACTAAAAGCATGCAATAGCTTTAGTGGTCTTGAAGTTGTAAAAGCCAGTCGTGACAAAAGTTGGGTTTGGTAGGACGTAAAATGTGAAGGGATTATACTGTAACTTTAAATTGGACTGAGACTGCCAAGGCACACNGAACTAAAAGCATGCAATAGCTTTAGTGGTCTTGAAGTTGTAAAAGCCAGTCGTGACAAAAGTTGGGTTTGGTAGGACGTAAAATGTGAAGGGATTATACTGTAACTTTAAATTGGATATATTTAAATCCGTAGGTGTCCGTAGGCTTGCCCTCACTCTGAGATATAGCTAAAATACTTCCAAATGTAACTTCTGGCGTCTTTTTTGTCAACAAGCCGAGGCGCACTCCCTCTTGCAGCCATGCTTCTCGTTTTCTCACATGCTCTGGCAGCTAGCGCGTGCATGAGAGAGGGGAGGCACTTAGAGCGTGCTTGAGAGGGGAGGGACTATAGGCACGGCTGCAGTGCAGGGAGTGGAAGCAGAGCGCAGAACACACACGGCTCTTATTAAAACAGCGCTTTCTCACCGGAGTACTTTCCCCCGTCATTCTTAAAGTACAGATACTTATGAAACGGAGGAATCGTAACGTTTTTAACAGCAGGGTATCGCGGTACCTTTCAAGTATCGGTACACCGTGCAACACTAAAATGATGTGTTCTTTTTAAAAGACCACAATTAATGGGTTGTCTTGTGAAAATGCTCTCTGTACCAACAGACCTTCCTGAATGATGTGCTGCTCTGTACCCCACAGCTCCTCCTGTAGTGTGCTCACAGTCTTACCAGCATTCCTGTACTCAAACAGGCGGGGATCCGCTTTGATGGGGACGAGGCCTAATCTGTGGGCCAGGACTTCATCCTGGACGATGGATGTGTTGTTATAGATAAACACCTTCTCTATGGCCATGGTAGGCACCTGCAACCAAGAACAATGCAGAGAATTAACAATATACACTACCAGTCAAAAATGTGGACACACCTTCTCGCTCAATGGTTTAATTCTCTGCATTGTTCTTGGTTGCAGGTGCCTACCATGGCCATAGAGNGCTGTGCACCCTCCCCGACTACACACCTGCTTTCCATCAAGCCATTTACAACGGCATATCAACGGAGGCTCCACAACCTTTCTCCGCCAGATCGTCAAGTATCAGCCGTATCTCGCGTCTCCCCTCCGGTACACAGCACCGTAATGTGGAGTTGCATTAGGTAACGCGAGATACGGCTGATACTTGCGCATTAGTTTCTGTTATGGATCAGTATCAACAGTCCTGCCAGTAACGTTACTATATTATCAATGCTACTTTAGTTATAGCCTGATAAATGATAGCTAACTTCACAATGTTGTGATGTGACGCTAGCTAACATTCTGTAGCTAACGCCGGTCACTCACCAAGATAGCTGCCCAGTTCTCCACTGGTTCTCCTCACACCACAGCTCAATTTCTCTCCGATGGCCGTTATTTCTTCTAATCCTTTGCTGCTCCTGGTCTCTTGGACGCCTAGCAGGCTCATAATTATAAGGTTGTGGTCCGTCATATGCATTCGAATATTCATGTTCAACTTCTTCTGTCGTGTCTTCTGTGTCGAAACTAGCATTGGGATCCATGTTTATTAATACGTTACACCGGCCGCTCTCCCCCTTGTGTCCCCCGTGTTACGTCACACGCGGAAGGTCACGTGCCGAGGCTTTTTTATGCGGAAGTGAACATTTCTTACAAAAACGACGCCAGATGTCACTGTAGTGTATATTTCTGTATTATTTTTTTGAAAATCTAGTGTATTCATCATTTTCCTACACATTTATTCACAGGTGTCTTTAACCTGGAAGTTGCTCTTTAACTGTTAGGCTTAATAAACCATTATAGACCTACATCACTTAGCAACAGCTGCACATGCCCACACGCTAACTATGGGTCTTACAAACCTACATAACATTACAAATAGTCAGAAAATATTATTTACAATATTAATCAAACCATGAATTCAATTTATATCTGATTGACAAGGCAAAACACTGCACAGCGGCAGCAGCATTAAAGGAAAATATTGTCTTACCTTGTGTTGGGGCTTCACAAAACCCCAAATGTAGCCTTCCTCTCTGGGGTGGCACTAATGAAGACCCTCATTAGAGCAGATACATCCACATTGTCCAAAATGTTACTATGGACATGCATCAAAGTCAGATGTGTCAGTCTCTTCTGTGTCATATTACTCTAGTTGGAGTAGCTGGTGGTCCACTCTTTTTATTGGGTTGTTTGTTGGAGAAAAAAATCCAAAATCCTTTTTTGCGCCATTCTAAAAAGTTGTCACTGCAGTGTGTGTGTCGCGTCAATTACGTCACTATCCCACGACCTACGACCTAGATGACTCGGATTTTATTTATTTGGAAAATAAATTCAAGCCACTTGACTGATACAAATATATACTATGACTATTATATGCTACTGTATACAGCTAATTTTATTTTAAGTAAAATCATAACTATTTTATGTACTTTAATCATTTTTATTTAGGTGGTCCCTCAGTTTTTCAAATGTACACCACTCGCCAACAGGGGGAGCTGCAGCACCCCCAGCACCCCTACTTCCCGCGGCTATGGGTGGTTCCCTCTGATTGTTTACAAGGCCAAGCTTATTCAAGGGTTATCTTATTCTATATGTATGCACTTTCAACATTTGTATTTTATTTTTAGGTACAGAAACATATAATGTTAAGGTGAGGGATAGTTTTATACAACAATTTATACAAGTTACTGCTTTGCACTGCATCTTGTGAGTGACTCTGTTGACAAGTTACTGACACACTATTGATAAATGTAGAGAGTCTACAATGGACTAAGGTTTGAGTGACTGAGCTAACTCTGTAATTTTCGTGATCCAAAACTTCAGGTGTCATGTCATTGTTCATCATTTATTGCTCTGTTTTGGGCATACGTGTCTTCACTTTTATTTGAGGTTTTGGAAAATAGATATAAGAAGGCTAAAAAAAATAATGTTTTGGTTCTTGACTTGGAGTAAAGAACATTCCACTATGTTACCAGTACCACTTGTATCTATGTGTGTGCACTATCCTTACCTTAGAGCAGGGGTGGCCCATTCACAGCCCATTCATTTAGCCTTTCTTTCATGCTGTGCAAAGAAAAAGCAACCTCTTAATCCAGATATCTTACCATGACTCGCGCATGCATGCACGTGCACGGTTGTGGCATGACCACCAAAACAGAAAGATATGGACACAAAATATGTGCAATTTAGTTTCCTATCCATGTGAACATGATTTAAGTGGGGGGGAGACCTAACCTCCTCTAGGGGATCTGGGGGCATGCTCTCCTGGGAAGATCTTTTTTTTAAATGTTGAAATTAAAAGCATCAATCTGGTGCACTTTGAGAGCAACATCAGGAGATCTATGGATACATCTCTCAACATCAATATGAAACAGAACTGGAAGCAGATTTATTTTTCTTTATGGATATTTTACAAATCACTCCCCTTTCAAACTCTATTCTTGTTTATTAATAACAACTTTTTGTTACTGTCATATAGTATTTTATACCTGTTTACTTTATTCTCTTATTTTTTTATAACTATAATGATCATATAAAGATTTGCCTTTAACTCACTGGTTGGAGAAAAAAGATCTTATATTCGTTAGCATTGCTAGCTAACCAGATGCTAATAACAACAAAGTTATTGACTGTATGATCAGTATGACAGATGAAGAGATCACCACTGGGCTTAAAACTAAAGACACAGCCACGCAAAAAACTGCGGCATGTGTACAGCTCCTTATGGGTACTGCAATTTTTTAAGTGCCGGAGCGACGTTCTGGTGCTCTCCGTCAGAACTGCACCCCTGTCAGACGAGACATATACCACGTGATGACACGTTGGGCTCGTGTTGTGTTCAAGAACCCTGGAAAAACAGGCACTCGCTTGTTTAATTCTTTTGCGGTCTAGATTTCTTTTTTTTCCCGCGTGTGTTACCTCGAGGGCCGTATCAAATTGTCTCGCGGGCCGTATACGGCCCGGGGGCCGGAGGTTCCCCACCCCTGCTTTAAAGTGATCGTTCTTTTAAACCCAGTAGGATAAGCAGCATCAGGATGTGTCGCCCAGCAGGCAGAGGTCAGAGGTCACTCACGTGTCAGTATCCAGGGAGAAATAGTCGTAGAGTTTGACAATTCTAGGATGGTCCAGCTGCTTGTGTATCCGGTACTCCCTGCATGCATGCCTGGGAAGGAAATAGATGTAGTGTGGTGAGTTTTCTGAAACACGTTGTCTTTGTGTATCGGACACTGTGTGTAGGTGTGTGTGTGTGAGACCTACTTGTGGTAGTTCTCCTTCTTCTCCTCCCTCCAGTTCTTGTTGAGCTGGTGGATTTTAACAGCTGCGTAGCGCTGCTCAAACAGGTCAAAAGCCTGTGTGGGACAAAGACACACACATTTTACTTTTAGCATACTTTACAGAGAGAAGGAATAGGAAAACACACACACACACACACACACACACACACTACCTTGTAGACTTCACTGAAGCCGCCCCTGCCCAGCAAGTGCAGCAGCAGGTACCTCTCGTTCAGGGTGGGATGGTCTTTAAACCTGAGAGGAGAAGGCAAAAGACTTACTGCTTGTACCTATAACTTTGGTGCAGTGATGACATCTTTTTTAAGCCTGACCTGGAAGCAACGCAAGGGTTCCTTCGATAAAAAGCTAATGGAATTTCTTTATTTGATGTATAAGTGTTGGAGAAAAAGAGATCTGTGGCGAACACATGTACGATACTCAAACATGCTGTGCAGCTGGATAATGTCCACATATTAACACCTCTCTACTGGTTTTTTAAGCCTTAATAATATCGCCAAAAGTAAATAGTCAACATTTAAAAAAACGACATCACAGTCACAGGATTTCACAAAACCATGCTAAGCTAAAGGCGGCTAAAGATCTGGGTGATTAAGTCTTATTTTAGCTAACGGTGTTAACAACCGACTTTTTTAAGACACAACGAACATTTTAATTAGGACATTCACGTGTGGGATATTAACTAACGTATTTACTGTAAATCTCTCAAGGAAAATATATTGTGTTAGCCACAGATCTTATTTCAGGTATCTCACCAATCATTATTTAAAAAAAAAGCATTGACTTGCTAACTCTGGGTTTTAGCACTCATTCCTGCAACACTTGTTGTGCTGAATGCAACTAGAACATATGGGATTATTAATGTGCATGTTTGTCTTGAAAGTCAAAACTGAATTGATGTTTCATCAATTAGGCACGATTTGAATCCTGGTCTCAACAGTTGGGCTACTTCATGTGACGGTGCTGCATGTAGAGCGGACTTACGCCGAGCTGTCCTCGTTGTTGATCCTCTTCAGCTCTCTGATGTGGAGGTTCCTCACCCGCTCCAAGCGCTCCAGCTCCGCCTGGATCTCAGCCTCCTCCTGTGTAAATACACCGGGACATTCTTTTCCTATTTCAACATTTGTGCAGCTTTAACGACTCTAGTAGCAACTGAAGCTGACTGTATTTGCATCTCTTTTTATTTTGTATATTTTTGGCAACTTTCACTAGATACAAATTCCTTACAGTTGCACTAGTTTGTAATCAATTGTATGTTATCTTTGCTACTGACCTTTTTTAGATGTCCAAGGCGAAGCTTGAAGATCTCTTCCTGCTCGTGGTACTCAGCGAGGGTCAGTCTGACAAAAGAAAAAAGAAAAGGTAAAAATCTCAGAACAGGAAACCTTTGAGATTTATTTTTATTATTTAACTCCAAATCGTATTGGAATAATTGTTAACCCTTCATCGAAGAGCAACTGTGAAAAAGTGTGTCTAAAGAAGGCTTATGAGGTATGGCAACCCTCTCCTTCTTTAAGGTCCAACATCCTACAGGAAGTGGCTGCTTCAGTGTACTCACAGCTGGGGCAAGGAGGGCTTGAGGAAGGGGTCGGAGTCGTTGCCGTTGACCACCTTAGTTTTGCGCTGCTTGGGTTCAGAGGTGGAGGCCACGGAGAGTGAGGGGGAGGCGGGGTTTGGAGGCTTCCTCTTGGCCAGCAGCTTCCTCTGGCGCTCGATGTCCTCCCGCTGCTGGTTGATGCCCTCCTGCTGCCTGCAGAGGGGGGAGGACAGGGGGGTGAAGGGAACGGCTCAATTGGGAAACGTAGCAGAAAATAAACCTTGCACAAAACGCCATGTAGAATGCAACATCTAAAAGAAGAACATCATGTAATTCGATGAAAACCTATGCGTTTGCCATTTCTTACTTGATCAGGTTCTGGAATGCGTATCCGTCCGTCCACTGCTCCGTGTAGGACGCTCCGTGTCTGACGGTGGTGAAGTGGCCGAGACGGAGGCGGTCCTGCATGCTCTTCTCACGACACGAATGCTTCTCCTGGGTGCTCTGATCACAGGAACAGGGAGAACATTAGGCCAACTTAATGTGATCATTCCTCACCCATATCCTCCACCCAGTTCATTAAATCCCACAGCAACCCTGTGCAGCTTTATCAAGTCCAGCCCAGAATGGTGGATCCCTGAGGGAAAGAGGTGGAGGGTCAAGAGATTCTAATCCACAGACAGGATCTCCCCCTCAGGACTTGGACCAAAGCAGAGCTAAAACACCAAAGAATGTTGGACTCGTTCTCAGAAAAGCTGTTGCTTCATTTCTGTTATCTACTAAATGTTCTTGCCAACGATACATTGTAAATCTTCACAAAACACATTAGGTGTAAGAGTCTCCGTCGGGGGCCCACATACAGCCTTTTTAACCAGATCAAAAACACACGGCACATCAGATGGACATTTGGTTCCCTGGTCTTGTGTTGATGTCGCTAAGATAAGTTGTCTTTATGTTGCAAAGAGCCGCTTCCTATGTGTGTGTGTTTGTCCGGCAACCGAGACATAAACATTTAGGATATTAGCAACCTTGAGAAGTTTTAGTGCTCTTAAAAGGAATATAGGTGAAACACAGGACAGATGTTTACGTCAGGGTGATAGAATAGCACTAAACAAAGTACTTCTATATATTTGCGGTATGCTGATATTTAACAAACTAAAGTTATCCCTTGGCTGTAATTGGTTGTTTCTCGTCACATGACAAGGGGCACGCTGCTGAGCACCAAAAGTGTATCTACTTTCAACTCTGGGCATTTGAGCCTGTTTTTCTGCACTTCAGAAACAATAGAAACGAGGTGGCCTAAAACGCGCCATGTGCACTTCCCTCTAGGCTTTTATTCGATTGGCTCTTCCTTCCTTCCCAAAAAAGGATCAAAAACATATAAATAACAGCCATTTTTCTTTTCTAACCTCTACAGTGAAGACACAGTGCGTGCGTGCGTGCAGAGACAGGTACCTTCTCTATCAGCAGTTTCTTGCTCATGGTGATGCACTTGTTGAGCCTCTCCTTGTATTTCTCCAGGAGTTTTTGCTGTTCGTCTATCTGTCTCCGCAGGTCACAGTTAGCCTGTTGAGGGAAGACAGCGAGGACTGCATCAAGTCTTTATTGTGTGGTTATTAAACACGTGATACAAACCTCCCATAAGCTGTTAGTACAGTATACAGCTCCTCGATTAGAACTCAGTTCATGGAGGCGGAACTCACCCTGAGAAGGTCATCTATCCGCCCCTCTTTCTTTTCCAGGTCCAGACTCTTGTTGCTCTCCAGAGCAGCGAGTTTCAGGCCCGTTAAGTCCGTCTATAAAACAAGGAGTTAGTCAAAGGTGAGGTCAAAACGTCTAAAACATGTGTCATGTGAGTGTTTCATGTACGCCATGTATTACCTGGACACACTTGGTGGAGGAAGCTTTATTCTGTTCCACAAAACACAGACTTGTAGGAGAAGAGCTATTCTGCCGGACCTAAAGGCACAGAGACACAGAGACTGAATCCAGCACCTCATGTCCAAATGACTGAGCGAGGATCTTTGTTCGAGGCGTTCTATTGCTTGTCAAGTACTCACGAGTGAGCCCGGGGCAGAGTGTGAGTTCTGTGGAGAGCGGCGGGCTGATGGGAGGCCTCTGACAGGACTGGAACCATTTCCACCCTGAAACTTTGCAAAGAAAAAGAGCCAACTTAGAAATGGGCTTTAGAAATGGCGAGTCCGGCTCACAGCACTGGCTCTCTCTCTCAACAAAGACACTCTCTGGCCTTAAAACTATTTTAAGATAAATGAAAGGAAAAAAATGGGGAGAGCAGACCTTCAACAAGGAAAATGGTGCATTCAAGTGCTCGTTCATGTTAAACAACATGTTAGTATCTGTTTCTCAAGTTGTTGTTTTTAAAAAGCTTGAGGGCTTTCACATGAATTCCCCAGTTGGCAACATATTGTTCGGGTTATTTCAACATCATATGAAAGCAACACAAATAAAGGTTGTCTCCACTCCTTGTTTTGGATCCTCTCAGAAATGGAATGGGTTCTTCCTGAGCTCAAGCTACAGTTTGTAATTCATCTGTATACAAATTGGTAGTATTTTCACCGTTAACATGCCCAAAAGGTCACAAAAACTAACAAATACACAGAAAGAAAAGCTCAAAGAAAGCACATTGGCGGAGGCACTGACTGGAGTCTTTGTAATACTCACATCAAAGTAGTCGCTGATCTTGGGCCCACGTGTGGACGTCTTCCCTGCAATAAAGCCAACAGAAACTTGTAATGCATTCGTCAGTGAGGCCTACATTATAGCCATTTCTTGCAAGTTTCACTCGTACCTTGACTACTCTCTGAAAAGGTGTCCGCTTTCCTTTTCCTCCCCCTGGACGATTCCGAGTGCTTCTTCTCCGGGGTCTGTGAATCGATATGAAATGAGAGGAGAAGGCATAAAACTCTCGAGTTCGACCTAACAGAGCTGGACTCGAGAGGTGGTGTTCAGCGAGAAGGAGCAGAGTAGGAAGAAAGAGTACATACTGAGTAGGCAGGGGAGCTCCCTCTTTTCAAATCAGAGCTCTAGGAAGAGAAGACAAGGAGAGGTGGAGGTAGTGGGAGAGACAGTAAGAAAAAAGTGGAGTGGGCAAAGCAAGGCTGTTTGTAGAATTGTGTCTATTCTATCTCTTTTGCTCCGTCTAAACAAACACAAATGTCAGTGTGTTTTACCTCCGACTCCTTGTCACTGGAGGAGCCCAGGCTGCCATAGCTGTGGTTGGAGGACTCATTGGCCAGGCCCTGCACACAGTGACAATTCAAACAAATAAGTGATCACATTCAGAATGAAAATAGTCTCCACGGGTGCTATTTCTGCAACCTGATGTAAACAAAGCAGGTCAAAGCAAGAGGGCAGGCCCCTTCTCCGACACCTCTGATAGGAATCTAGATCGTCTGCTATGAGGTGTGTCTCTTGGTTTATATCCAACGCATGAACATACCCAGACCTTTTTCTTTCCACCACAGAAACCTTTGGTGTTGTGTTTATTTCCTAACTTCAAACAATCCCTGTTGCAAATGTAGTACTTCAGACTGTCATGGTGGAGTTAGTCACTGAACACAAGCCTGAAGACTGTCTGCCTTCTTTCTAGCAAGCATTCAAACAATGCAGATCAATCATAGAGTTGTCTGCAAAAGGTGTTTTCTTTGACCTTTATCAGAGAGGAAACAAACTTTAGCTCATGAGGCTGTTTGTTCGCCCGCTACGAGAAATATATCACCTTTTTTAGAAAAGCGATGGCGACGGATTTGTAGAAATGGGAGGAGCTTGTTTTTGAACGTGACTTTCAGAAGGAAAACTATCCTAACAGGACCGAAAAGCTCATTCCTTTAAGTGGATCGGACAGGCTAACACTGGATGTTGCAGTCGATGAATTTCTTGTACCGTACGCAGAATATTCTCCTCAGATTTAGCATTGAAGCTCATTCATACAAAGCTTTAGAGCAAGCATCTTTCGGTTGGTTGTAATAGTTCATCTCAAAATGTATGACAACACAAACAGATAATAAGTTCCAAGCCAGTTATACAGCAACCATGATACTTAGTCGAAGTAACATTGTCGTAGAAACAACAGCTTTTTTTGAGGAGACTCTCCCCAGCTCCCAGGTGACACCTTTCTGACAAAAAAAGGCGTAGATATGTGGACGTAGACCCTAAGGCTTTAGTGTGTGCATGCTGCGGTTACCTTAGCACCCCCGCTGGTGCTCCCGGTGCTGCCTCCGGTGTTGCCACTGACGGCTCCTGTGAACCTGGCCTCCAGCAGCTCCTGCCTCCTGGGGTCCAGGCTGTGCAGCTCCTCCATTGGGGCTTGACATAAGGGAAACAACAGAGTGGGGTCATATTACCATCATTACAAACAAACAGTGGTGACAAGAACAGTAGAAGCACAACCATTTGGAGTAATTCAGACATTTTTCTGGGACTAGAAATACATTAAAATGGGCACAAAGAGAAGGAACAGAGGACAGTATTTTAGGGGAGGATTAGAGAAAAATTGAGAGTGATTAGAGGATAAAAATAGAAATATGAATTTAATCGACTTGGCAGTAGAGGTAAAAGGTTCATGCTAGGGTGGAAGATACTGCGGATGAGTGACAGTGCAGTTCTAACTTAAGCGGGGAAGGTCATTCTGCCACAGGGAAGTGAGGAGGGAGAAAAGTCGAGGCCGAGCAGAGCGATGCTATTAGTTTGTCAGCAAAAAAACCTTCAACCAGCCCCTCTATTATCTCAGACCGTCACAATGGCCTCATTGCACTGTGCTAAACTAGTCTGTGATATTTAGGGATCCCAAAACCTCATAAGCCCTGCAGATAGAGCAGCTCAGATAAGGAAAACTGGGATTCTTTTTCCAAATTCACATCGCTTTCAGAGCCGCACGGGCAATGTATATCTGGGCTTTATGCCGCTAATCCGAATGCTTCACGTTAATCGCAATATGGACTAGGGCAGTATTCAAATCGCAGGGAGGACAGTCTTTTTTAAATGCTAAATGTGTTAACATACCACTCTGAATTAAATAGTGTTTATTCACAGATCTACTGGCTTAAGAAAACATCTTTGTATGGTACGGATCGTCTTAAAAGTCTCCTACACCGCTGTAAATCTAAACCAGTGTCATGATAAAATGAGTTTTATACAAGCTAAAGGCTACAGTGTATGCAGCCCTGCAACTGGGCCTTGTTCTTGGACAACTGGTTTCCAGGAAGAGATACACAGGCCCTCTGCTCCCTGCTGAATACTGATGCAAGTGTTTGTTTCCTTATTGGATATTTCCTGGCTGTCATCTTTACATAGCTTCTCCCAGAGGGGCAAGCCCTAAAAGGCATAATGGACATTAAGAAACCCCTGAACAAGTTAAACAGAGAGCACACAACAAGGCCTGTGCGAGGTTATTTAAGGACAGGGATGAGTGATTAGGCTTAATTTTTCTATAGAGCCAGGAGTTTCATATTACAGCAATATTTGATGTCTTTAGGAATATGTCCCTGGTTGGAAATAATCATAAAAACATAACTACATTAGTAATAGTAAAGTAATTATGCAGCAGATCTTACACACCTTCCTTGTCGTTTTTAAAAGCATGTGCTGTAACTAAAATACTTAGCTGTAAGGTTATAACTTATTTTTGCCACTTGTGACACAGTTTTGTCACATTACATCCAACAACTTAGCAGTATCGAGTAAATAAAGTCTCAGGAACATGTCGAAAACAATGAGGAAAACAGATGCAGCCAAACTGGCCGAAAAAGGTGAAAAGCAGGGCCTGTGCTCAAGTTTACAGCAGCAGGAGCATGCATTTTAATGCATTAATGGATGCATGCACAGCTATGTTGTTTAATATCAACTAGATGCTGTTGATAGGGGGAGAATGTTACAAACTGCCACAACAACACTGTGATCGCCTCAACAGCTACGAGTAACAAGAAATAATGTACGCTGACAAAACAAACAAGCTAACACTTCCTTTGTACAAACATGATAGCTTGCTGCTACTTAAACTGGCCATCAACTGAACTGACAGCTGACGTTTGGCTTCCCATTCACGGCATCAGTGAACTTGACATCCATTTTTACTTCAACAAACGTTAGCTCCACACGGTCAAAACACTCCACTTCTCAGACAAAGCAAACACTTTAAGGAGAATACGAGTTAGATGAGCACTTGGCGAGCTAATATACCTTCCTTGCTCTTTGCCGTCGCAGTTATAGGTTGTTGAGAAATCGTTGGGGACGAGGAGAGCTGCGACCAAGATGGCGTCGCCTCCAAACTTCCACCACCACTTCCACTGTTACTTTGGACACTCATGAAGCCACTTTACCGCCGAGAGGAGCCAGCGTACACACTGCCGTTTGCGGAAATCCCAAACTTGCGTCCATCGTTAGACACCTGCTGTGGACAAAACAGGCCAGTAAACGTGAGTCAGAGCGTGAGTTTGTGTTGCTACCGCTACCCGCCTCGCATTGTGCTGCGGAGAAGCGGCTTCTTTAGAGACTCGCTGAAACGGATCCAGTGTAACCTTTGCATGATGACCGCACCGCGCGCCTGTCAGCATCCAGTTCGCGAGCGGAGCTTTGATTCTAGTAAGCGAGGCTATCGCGAGGCTGGCGCGCACCTAGTACCGCGATGGGGGGATGGAATGACACCGGAACAGACACTGATCTGGGATCATTTCACCCTCCTGCACACTGGCCATAGGGTGACTGGTAGGCTGCTCTCAGCGTCGACCTGAGAACAGCCTGCTGCTTGGGAGAAAACAACAAACACCCCGAAAAAATGGCCGAAAGTTTGTGCCTGCTTGTGGAGAACGACAGCAAATAGGGAAACATGACACACACACACACACACACACACACACACACACACACACACACACACACACACACACACACACACACACACACACACACCACTATATAGGTTATATTGTATACATACACATTACATGTACTGTCTGTATATAATGTATAATAGGCAATAGTTATATATAGACTTTTCTTACACAAATGCACGTGCACATACACTTTATAGGCAATATATTGTATGATATTTATCTATATCTTGGTGTTTTTGTGTGCCCATTTATATACAAATATTGGTAAAGATGCAAAGATGCTGTGTGTATAATTAAGTAGATGTTTAAGTAAGGCTGGTCTTGATATGATGTATTTTAGTGTTGAATTACAAGTTGCTTTTGGGGGTTCGGGGGGGGGGGGGCAGGTGGGGGAGGATAGTGATGTGGTCTGGGCTATAAGGTCTTTTGTTCCAAATTTGGTGCAGTGCATCAAAATGCCCTCTTGTAGGGTAGCATGCACAAAACACACAAATACACACACATATTTTTAAACCTGCAACACTCTTGGCCTATATCTTATTCTTACACCACTTTTTGCATGAAAATGAAATAACTGTAACTCCTAGTGCAAGTCAGACAATGCAAGTCTTTCCTGATACAGAAACAAATATTTAACCCCTTATAATTGAAAATAAAATTCATTTCCTGGATTCATTTGAGATATTAAAAAAGACAGTAAGTACTCTTTCGAGGGTTTTTGCATATGTCAAACTTCTGCTCCAATTGCAGTGAGATTTCATCAGGATATAGTCTGAGGCACAAACCATACTACTGCACCTTATGCACCTGCCCATGGTAACCTGATTTTTTGGTCACATGGTTTCCATGGTAACAGAGCAATAGTCTTGACAGGCAATGAGGAAGGTTGTATAAGCAGTCTACTGTCTTACTCTACTACTTGTACACACAAAAACACATACTGGTTGTGAGTTGTGTTATGAGGAAAACAGTGTCGTGCAGCAGTGGGGACATTCCAGGAGCATAGAATGTCTCAGGGAAAACTGGGAATGTTGACTGACATTTTGGAAACTGTTCACAGAATTTGTATGAGACCTATTTCTAACAATAATGCTAAATAATAATAATAACAGTTAAAAAACACAGTCAAGAGGAGAATAAAGGGTTTTCATTTACACAGGATATTTCAAAACTGTATAAACAGCTTTTTGTGACAATAAGCATCCAATCGTATTAACCTTAGAACAGCCCACTTTCCTAAACTAAAGACAAAAATAAAACACTGTTTTTTGTTGAAATTGTTCTTTTCAATTTTGCAGGTGAAAAAACTTTTTGGGAAAGAGATGACGCAAGACACAGGGCTGATTTGACTGAAATTACAAAATTCTCCAAATGTTCCAAAAGTCTCCTTAAATAATATGTATATGAAGTGTATATAACATAAATGTTGTATTCTATTATTATAATAGCAATATATATTATGTTAGAATATCTTTAAACAATTATTACTGATTTATTAGGCTAGATATTCATTGCAATTTTAATGCAAAAATAGCAGAACATGTTGTTTTCATGCTCTCAAATGTGGAAATGTTGTTTTGGTAATATCCTATTAAACTAAATATATTAAGGTTTTAGACTCTGTTGTGATTGGTCAACCGTAAATGTCCCGCCCCTTAGCACGTACAAGAGTGATTGTTATATAACGATGTCACTATGTTACGGAAGCAGACAAGGTGTTTCAGGCAGGGGGGGGGGGGGGAGTCTGTGGTACTCTGTAAACATTTTGGCTGTACATTTACAGTAAATGACTGGCTACTAGTTGCATGGATTTCACAGTAATTTACTGTAAATATTTTACAGTAAATTAGAATAAAAGTACAACTACATACTGTGACTTTATAGTTGCCATTCCCATGGAAGTACTGTGATATAGCAGTACAGAGCTGTGATACATAAATTACAGTAATTATCTGTATTTTCACACTTTTACTGTAAAAGTAATGCAACACAGTAGCCAGTAATTTACTATACATTTTTTTTTTAAATAATACTATAATATATTGTACATACACAATTGAATCTGCTCAATCGACAAAGAAAAACAAAGAACATACCCATTTCAACTTTTTATTCCTCCATTCAAGTGCAAAGTACATTTCACATGAAACTTTCTACAGACTGTGAGTGTCTTACATTAGTCCTGGACATGTCTACAGACATCCACTCAAAGTCAAGGAGTTTTCTAAAGAATGTGCTGACATGGGGGTTTATAACGCCACGCTTCTTCTTGCCCAGGAAGCACCTGAAAACAATAAGCCAAGACAACAACTTTCAATTTTACATAGATGTATATGTTGCATCGTTTATTTTAAGGCACAGGCAGCGGTGCCCCTTTCAATTTAAGTAAAACCTGCACCTTTTTTCTAAGAAAGAGTAGGACCTCAACATTGTGCTAAAAAAACTACCATGCCATCCTAACAATAACATAATTTAACTTAAATAGCTAACATAGTTTACATTGAGTGTAAAGTATTTATTAAAAGTTCACCAAGCTAGAGGGAAAATGCACTGTGGGATTAGTGACAGAACAATTCCTCTTTTTTTTGTATATTTATTATCCTATGCCATGAAAAAAAAACATTACCATGACAGTGATGAAACTTTATTATAAACCAGTATTAGTGAAATCAGAGGTAATTCAGTGCCATTAAATATAAAATGATGGCAAAACAAGGGCTTAATCTACTGGCAAACTGGAGGAGCACGAACAAGTATTTGCTTCTCTGTAACTGCAAACTTTATTGATAAATCACTGTGCAATGTCTTAGGATAAATGACTAAATGTAGGCATCACAGGTCAATACCAGTAAATTAATATGAACCCTATTTCTGGTTGTATTTAATTGTATTGATCAAGAATGCACAAGAGGCTTTTCTTTTGCCCTCAAGAGAAAATGTTGTGTTTGGGTCGTAAGGCCGTCCTCTGCCTCTCATACATGGTGACGTACGATCTGATAAGGTCCTCCATTGTGTTGGCCTAAAAAAAAAGGAAAAAGGTTAGAAAACTTTGATTGAAAAATGGTTTCTCATGATAATATAATAATGTGATGATTGCCGTATATAGACATTGTAAAATGACATTAAAAAGGCAGTTGCTCACCTGTGTGGTTTCACAGACGAAGACGACGGCCCTCAACAATGTGCCGATGGACATCTCGAAGTAGTTCCCTTCGCTTTGGTACTCTTTGATGCGGCTGAACGGATGCATGACCAGCACCTCCTGAAGGGGATTGACATTAACATGAGATAGTTTAAGTACATCTTCGAGAAACATTTGGCTAGTATTTCCATTTGATGCTAATTTATACTGACATTCAACTTCAAAATATTAATCAAAAGATATGTTTTGTGCCTTTATTTGAGATGCAGAGTTGAAAGGGGGAGATAGAGGGGATGACATTGTTCGGTGGGCTTGAGAGTCGAACCCGCTTACTTGGCAGCGGACACTGCTTATGAGCTCTAACCACTCATCTATGCGGCGGCCCTTTTTACATTTTTTTTGTTACTATTTTAGTTATTTTGCCGGTTGATATTTCTGTTACATAAATGTAAATCGCTAATGAATTATGACATGCTATTATGAATTAAGATACCTGGGAGTATAACAAGTAATTCAAAGCATCTCCACCATTTGCAAAATGAAAATAGTTTCCATAAATGGATCATTAAACCAGTCATACAATATATATTATTCAAAAAATGATGCTACTATACTTTCGTACTTTTACTTAAGTAACGTTTTAAATGCCAGACTTACTTGTATTCAAGTATTCCACACTGTGGTATTATTACTTTTACTTAAGAAAAAGATCTCGGTACTTCTTCTACATCACGTTTGTGACCAATAAAGACCGAACAGTTAGCTAGAAATGTCAAAACTCACATAAAAAGTGTCAGTGTAATCAAACATGAAAAGGAAAGGAAACACATAATGTATTAATGAGCATCATTAGGCTTACCTTCGTTTGTGGGTCTATTAAGCTGATACCAAGCTTGCTGATGGCGATCAAAACTATATGTGGGTAGCTTGATTCACATGTTTGCTGCGAAGTCAAAGGAAATCATAATATGTCAAAACAGTGTTCCATAAATTGCTGAATGCTGATTTCATGACAATCTATCCTGGTGGCTCACTTTCACTTCGAAGAAGGCACAGCCGAATGTTGGCCAGCTGCAAATGGCTTTCAGAAACTCGATTTTAGCCTCCTGCACCGTGATGCCGCTCTGCTTGCTGTAGGCCTGGATTATGTGCTGCAAATACAGGTTACATTAGGTTAGGATAGAATATTTATTATTTATGATGTGAAAACATTTCTTTAGCTCCAACACAATGAACATGAATTACACAAAAAGACAAAAGGAATTAGTCAAATTCAGCTTAGTATTATGTGTTTATCTAACTGCACTTAGAAGAAGATGCTTTTTGGTGGCAGTCTATAGTGACTTCCCTGAGCGGAGCAATCCAAATTGTGGGTAGAATTTTCTTGTTATATCAAGAGCTTTCCTTTTGGTTTCCATTGCATGCCTGTCACAAAGGAGCATATTTGGTTTCACTATTATGTTACTGTCAAAGTGTACCACTCCTGACAGTTTCTCTGTTGACATTTTTTTTACTGATAAGGTGTAATCTCTGCATAGCTTTTCTTCCTAAGAAATAACATGATCTGGTCTCCATGAAAAGTGAAGTATTGATATTTATTTATTCCTTGCCATTTAAAACAGCTCCCAATTTCAACAGTGTTCCCTCAGATGGATGGGGTTGTAATGTAATGTTAACTTGATGTGACAACATGACGGACATCAGTTCTAGGGTGGACGATACATGTCAGGCTGGCACCAAATCTATATTAAGTCTATATTGTGATATAAGACTAGAGATCTTTTAAGATTTCCTGATATGTAATAT